ATCGTGTCGGACATCTTTGTGATGACTTGTTTGCGTCCCTGCAGCCTCTGATTCAGTTGGGCAAGATGCTCCGTTATGTCACACATATGGTACGGCACATCTCCATGCTCCGAGCCCAACTCCTTCAAAAACAGCTGGAACTGGGGGTGATTCAAGCCATGTGCCCAAATGAAGTGCAGCTGTTTTCATGACCGTGGTCATTATATTATCCAGTTCCAGAACCTTTCCACACAGAGCTTCTTGATGGATAATGCAATGATAAGTTATCAGAGGTGTGTGGCAGTTACTTTTTTGCATTTTCTCCTTCACTAGTCCAACCAAGCCTGTGTTTTGTCCACACACTGCAGGCGCGCCATTGGTAGTTAGCCCCACCAACTTTTCCCAGGCTAATTTAGTTTTACTTACGGATCTCTGCACTGCATCCCTCCCCATCGGCGTCCCGTGCATGGCAGCTACATCCAAGAGCTCCTCACTGACAGTCAAGTCTGCCTTCACGCCTCTTACAAAAATTGACAGTTGCACTGTGACCGTGTTGTCTGTGCTTTCATCAACAGCCACATAACTGCTCGACTCCTCGGCTAGCTGTGTTCTCAGATTAGACTGCTAGTTCCTGAACTCGGTCAGCGATGGTGTTCCTTCACAAATTGGCATTTTTAAAAGTCTGTATCTGGTCGGGGCACACCTGCTCACAAACCTTGAGCATATACTCCTTCACAAATGCACCCTCTGAAAAGCACTTGGAAGCTCGGGCGATTTCTTCAGCCAAAATAAAGCTAGCTTTCACAGCAGCATCATTTTTGTCTGTAGCTTTTGTGAATATGTTCTGCTGTGATTGGAGTCTGCCTTTTCATTTTTGGACAAGTTGATGTTTTTCTTGGAGGCTATAAGTTTAGCATACTTGGCTCCGTGTTTGGTATCAAAATGCCGACGTAAATTGTAATCTTTCATCACCGACACTGCCTCATAGCACAGAAGACAGACCGTTTTCTCTCCACACAAACATGTATTCGCTTTCCCATCTTTCATTAAATTGCCTTCCCTCTGTATCAAATTTTCTCTTCTTATGTTAACGTTAACTGCTACTAGCGGCCGGAGTCTGTCATTTTGCAGGTCACAAACTCGACATGCATCGTGGGAGATGTAGTTTATGGTCACTGTAGTGTACACTGTAAAGCAGCATAGAGTTTAATTTTAAGACAATCATATGCCTTTTATATGGAAAAAACAAATTAAAAGTTAGACTTGATAATAAAAATAAATCTCAGAATTGACTTTATTTTTTTTTTTTTGGTGTAAATATGCCTTTGCGGGCCACATAAAAAGACGTGGCGACCTTCAGTTTGACACATGTTTAGATGGTATGATTTCGATTGTGCTTCATATTTATTATCATTCTTATCTACCAAAAATCTTCCTCTTTGTCTGTGTTTATTGACAAGTTAAACGTCAGTAACATTGTTGCAGTTATTTTACATTCTTAAACAAGGCCTCTTGGGGACACAAGGCCGTTTTCATGTTTTTGTCCTGCTGTTGTCAGTAAAGTTGTGTGTACTTGTTAGTGTTGCTTGGCTGCTGGCGACCAACATGCATTAAGGATTTGAACAAGAAGACGGAGAATGTAAAGCTCAGTGTGGCTATACGTTTTTAATGAGCTTTTTGTCCATGTGGGGAGGGTAGGCCGCGTGTGTATTGGCATCCATGAACTGCATGCATGCTGCATTAGCGAGTGTTTGTATGTATGTGTGTGTGCGCAGCTTCCCTGCTGTATGTGTGAAAGCAAATGGATATATTTAGGTTTCGTCTTAGCAGCAGTTTCCTCGTCTCCCGCTGCTGAAGAGCTATTCGGTGAAAATGTGTGTTTCTGTTATTAGGAGATGTGGCCGTCTGAATAATGCATCCTGAACACCGCCTTGTTATGGCAGCGTTTGCAGTAATGTTCCAAGGCCAGGCGGTCCAGAAGGCCACCGTAATGCGTCGCCCCGCACTCCGTGAAATATACATGAGTAGTGAAGTGGCTTTCTTCGTGAATGACATTAACTACAGCGGTGAGAAACTACTGGGGGATTTCAGTGGAGAGCGCAGGTGTCACAGGGATTTGCACGGCAAATAGTTGCCTTTTCACACATCCAGCAGAAGTGGAGGAAGCATTCATTTGGAATCGTGTATCTTTCTACCTGGCGATTTAAAGTCCACTACCAGCAAGTCTCACACTGTGTCTGTCTGCTGTTTGCTGCTGGGCAGGTAGTGCACAGTGGGTTTGTCAGAGCTCTTTTCTCTGAAAACAGCTGCCTGCTGCTGCTGGAAATTAGTTTGATGAGAGCTGCGGGCTGTAAAACCTGGAACAACGAGTTGAAAGGCGAAGGCTTTGTAGAGCTGAGAGGAAGTGCAGAGTCGGGTAACAATTCTCTGTTGGTTTGTCACTAAGATTGACCCTGTTCATACTACACATGATCATTTGATCCCTTATTTATATGAAACATTGATTTGCGGAGCTTTAAAGGTTACATTTTATGCTCGTATTCAGGTTGGTCTGTCTGAATATACCTGTATTCACCATCTGTCTGAAACGCTTCCTTTTAATGGCTGTCTCTTTATGAGCCCATTCCTGAAAAAGCCCAGTCTGCTCTGGTTGGCTTGCAAGAATGATAACGGTGCACCTTTGCAAAGGTAATTCTCCAGCCGTGAGGGTTTTTTTTTAATGAGCCCTGATGTGACATAGGAAGGGGAGCCACATCTGATTAGCTCGTTGGAATCGAGGCAGCCCACAAACAAACTGACTGGGTCGTCTAATTTCACAGTTTGTGGGTTGGTAGACACACTCCAGATACCCCAAATATAGTATGTGCACAAGCAGTGAAAAAGTGAGTTTTTCATGATATATCCCTTTATATAACATAGTAGATCCATAAGAAAAAGACTGTGTACATTTTCCTACAACCACAACAAGACATATCCAACTACCTGGGTAGAAATTGGAGTGCATTACTTCTCGTAGGTAGAGCTACGAACAGTTTTTGTGAACAGTCTGGAATAGTAATTAACTCATATAGAGGTAAATGTGAGAAGTTAAATTTGCATTATGATAAGCAGCAGACGTCTCCAGTGATGAAGTGTGCTTCCTCACTATTTTTTTTTTTTTGTCTTTTATTGTGTGTCAGGAAAACTTTTTATCTACATTTCTTGCATCTTCCTATCTTCTCGCTCTCAGCAGTTCAAAAGCTTTCTCTTTTCGCTGTAATGCGTGCTTTTCTTCAAAAGTCTACTTTCATGGTGATAAGGAATTGAAATGCTTCTTTTGCATGGATTTCTCAGCAATGCTCAAGACAAGAAAGGGAATTAAAGCAACAAGTGGGGGTGGGGGGTGCATGAGCCAGCCTGGTCTCATTCCAAGGACACCAAATACCAACGCTTGGTCAGAAGCCTTTGGCATCTTGATACTGACGTACAAAGGCAACCTTTAGCGTCTGATGAAGCTCTTCTGTGTTCGTGTCCCGGGTAAACCCAGAAGTGGAAGTATTTTTACAGCCGATGTTAATCAAATTAGGTTATGTCTTGGTAATTATGTGTTATTTTAACCCAAACCACAATGTGTTTTTTTTATACCCTCACTAAGTAGTTTTGTTGCCTGTGTTGAACTGTGACCATTTCACAACATTAACCAAGTGCTTACCTTCTGCGTCATTATGTAACGCAACAGGCTGCCCTCGATGCCGGGGGCTTCTGCCTAAGAATCTAAATATGACAAGTAGGGATTAGATCCCAAATGCCTGCACATCTGTGTTTTACCCTTGACATGAAGTAGCATCATGACCAAGCACTTAAGTCAAGAATATATGTACTTACTATACTTTCAAATTTGTTTTAGTTTTATGGCATCTTAACAGTTTTGCTTCAGCTCTTATCAACCTTGCGTCCAGCAGCCAAAAGATTGTTTCTGCAAAAAAGCTTTGATAAAAATGTTATTCTAACGTCAGTTACACAGCAATATCTATCCAAATGTTGCTAACATTAGCTAATGTAGCCTCCATAAGCTACCGGTCAAGTATATAATGCTACTATATGGAATTAAACAATTTGTGCAGCTTCAATGTGTAACTTTATTTCTTGCATGGCAATCGTATCAGAGCATCGCATAATGTTCCTATAGAATGGCGGGCTACAGACCACTCATTTCACGCCACAGGCTACGGGCAAAGGTAATAGCTATGCAGCCGTTCCAAAAATATAATGTTTAAATCATGGTCAAAGATGAAGGCATTTTATTCCTTTCAAAGTACATTTCAGTTGGCTGTAAATCTAGCTTTGTAATCGCCGATTGGGCTGCAAGTGTATGAAGTTCCAACTTGTTATGGATCGTTATGAAACAGCACAAATATAAGCTTCTTTTAACTTCAACTTTTTATTTTGGAGAACAAAAAGGCGTCACTGGTCTCACACATATTCTCACCCTTGCGGTTTGCCAGGAGGTAGTCTTGCTTCCTGCATTCTGAGGGCCGAGCCCTACAGTTATTATGATAACGATGGAGCCCTGCCATCGGTGTGTGCAGTCCATTGTGAAGCTAAGCTCTCCATAATGTAGATGGGGGGCGGGGCGGGGCATTTAGCCATTTGGAATGCTTGCAGATTTGCAGTAGCTAAATATAGGCTAGGCTAAGGATTTGAATGCTAATGATGGTACTTGAGGTGTTTTCTTACACCTGTGGGCATTCAAAATGGTAATGTGGCATCTGCTAACCGTCGGTTCATTCATGCAGTTCTTTTTATTAGTGCAAATGCCATTCAAGCAGTATCAGCATTTAGTAACACTATTCACCACATATGCAATAAGGGAGCAGAAGAAGAAGTGTTGGTGCCTCACTCTCTGCCCATAAATAATTGAAGTTATTTTGCTCCATCAGTGATTTAAGTCTGAATAAGTGGTTGCTCTTTGCTCCACTTCCTTCCCCTCTGACTCGTCCCCATTCCTCCTCTGTCTCTTGCTCCTCTGCGTCTCTTTGTAGTTGGTGCTACCAGAGTACTCCATCCATGGACTCTTCTGCATCATGTTCCTGTGTGCCCAGCAGTGGCTGACGGTGGGCCTCAACATCCCCCTGCTCTTCTACAACACATGGAGGTGACTACGCAATCCATTGTAATGTTTGTGCATGCGTATGTGTTCTTGTACTTACTACATAGTGAGGACCACAAGTTTTTAACCGGCAGAGTGAGGACTTCTTTGAAAAGTGAGGGCATTTTGGTTGGTCGCAGCTTCTTCAAAGCCCTGTTTGAGGGTTAAGATTTGGTTTTAATGTTCAAGTTAGAATTAAGTTCAGGTTAGGGTTAGGCATTTAGTTGGGATAGTTAAGGTTAGGGTAAAGGTCTAGGGAATGCGTTATGTCAACGAGGGTCCTCCAAAAGATAAAAGTACAGGGTTTCTGTGTGTGTGTGGGTGTGTGTGTGTATGTGTGTGTGGGTGCTGTCCCATACACAGGTTTTCCAAGACTGTTTCCCATGCAGCCTTCAGCTGCTTTAAATAATCTCTGGTGCAACAAACGTGTATTAATCCACATGCAAAAATAGTCCCAGGTTGAGATAAAGTTGCTCAAGATGTACAGTGCCCACCTACGTATAAAATTGCGTAGCCTTTTTTAAAAATGAAGCTTTATATCCATGACACTTTTTTAAATAATTTTGTCTCCAGTTGGAATGAATGGGCTTGGGTCAGACAGCGCAGACAGGGTAGGAAGCAGCATTGTTCACATCAAAAAAGATATCCATTATGTTGAAAAGAAGGGCAGAATCATTCCTACACAGCCTGGTCTCTTTAAAAGTTACGATCCTATACAACAGAAACATTCTTTAATTGTTTGCACTATGTGTGGATGGAAACGTTTTTTTCCCAGATTACTTTGTTTTGACATGTCACAAATACATTTCTAATCATATTCAACAGAGGTCTCCATTGTGGGGAAGTTTGTGTGGATGGATGGGTTACAAACACTACTTTCTCTCGGGAGAAGTTTGTGTCCCGTGTGAAACCACAAGACAATGGTGACATCATTAAATTTACTTTCGGAACTTGAATAATGTTACAAACAAACAAAATAAAACAACAAATACTTATTTTAAGCCCAACCATGATGTTTTACTCAACCTAACCAAGTAGTTTTTTGGCCTTTTATTGTGTTTAAAACTGTGACCGTTATCCAGGAAGGTTTCCCTCGAATAGTAATTGAGAATGCAATTTAGTTGTATGGGAACTTTGTAAGAGACAGGGTTGCCCTACCTGACACTGTAAAATGTAACTAAATATGAAAAATGTAACCAAACTTGGCAAATATCGAGGAAGTAACTATATTACTAATTTCAAATGGTAAAGCTCGACTTATACTACATTTCTCTTATTGTGTCAACAAAGCCCATGAAAAGACCAAAAGCAATACACCCTTCTCAATACATTACGACTTTTCTACCTTTCTTGAGGCTCTCAAGCCCATTGTTTCCTAGTGAAGACAGAAATACAAATATACTGTATAGTTCTATTTTAAAAAGGATAATCATTTTCGAAACAACTGGGCACTTTAATTTCTCCTGTCTGAGTAATGTTTGCTCGACACCAGTTTGTGACCCAGCGCAACAGCATTGATGTCTTTTAAATAACCTTTGGTCAACCAAGGAGCTCTATGGCACGGGGGAAGGAGATATATCAGGATTGGGATTTAAACCATGCACATGTTTAATTGAACCTTGCAGGTGTTTTGCGTTAGTTCCTGAGGATGTGCACAACCAATGTTCTGAAGCATGGATGCATGGTTAAAAGCCAGTATATCAGTGTTCTAACACATCTCAAGGCAATGTCTAAAAAATGAGTCACCAGTCAGTGATCTCCAGATTTCCTTTGCTGCTCCTTCTTTGTCTCTTTTCCTCTTTGTTGCTGTTCTTTCCGCCAGTTTGGGGTTAGACGTAGACTGATGGCAGCCTGATTGGTTTAAGCTCATGTGTTCAGCTGGTTGAAGTTACAGGCTGAGAGGCGAGTAGAGGAGAGCCAAGGAGAGCGCAAAAAAAACGAGAAAAAAAGTAGCGTGCTGTCTCATTAATTGGAGACTGTGCCAGTTGCCCAGCGGCTACCGATGTTGCTTCCTGCACAGCTGAGAGAAAGAAGAGAGAGAGAGGGGAAAATACAGAGATGGAGGAGGGTGGAAAGTGAAGGAGGAAATGGCGGGAGGCAAGACGGTAAGTCGGGAGTGAGTGATAGGAGAGAAATCTAATATTGACAAGGTGATTCAGAGGAGAGTGAGAGATGTATGGGTGCGTGTGTATATGTGCACGACTACTCGCTTGTAAGTCCACAGGTCCATGGTTCTGGATGTTGCTGCTTTTAAGAGGCCAGATTTACAATGGTGAGAAATGTGCGTTATGAACTTGTTATGAAGGATGTCTTGTTAGGTGGAAAACCACTACTTCGATGACTCTCGAGAAAGGTTATAGGGCCATGACGGCTTTTTGGAGTTATGTGTGATGCCCTCAGGCTTCCTTACTTCACTCTGGTGCTATGTAATTATGAAGCCATACAGACATTTCTGGTATTTAGTGCCCAAGGTTTGTGGTCCTTCAACAACTGAAAAATGATATTAAAAATGTGTCTTTCCAGAATGAATGTCCTGCATGTGACGCACAGCTCATGGAGGAAATTAGAGCGTAACTTCAGTATTTTTCATCCTGGACCCTATTTACGCATGTTTTTGTGTCCAACTGACTAATGAAGACAATTGGTCCGGTAAAACAATAAAACAAAAACGTTTCTTCTTCTCTGTTGGCTTTGCTCAGGGTAATTGTGAAACAAATGGTGTCAATAATGCTTGTTATTGTTAATGACATATTTTTAGCTAATTGTATAGCTGTTTGTTAACTATTAGCTATCTTTGTCAACCTCATCATCAGTCACATGTGCATGTATCTACTGTAGAAATACATGGGAATTATATTCAACAAAGCCCTTCTGTCTCATTCAGTACATCGATATTCATTTTCAAGTGCATTGTTGAAGATTTCATAACATGCATGAGTCATCTAATTGACCAACTGACTTAGTAAATGTACATTGTAATTCATTTATGACAACCATGATCATTTCACACTTGTGGAAAAACCAATGTCATTGTATGAACATGCATAAACCACCTTACCCATCATTACCCATCATACCCTGCAAAACATCATTTGAATGTTTAAATGAGTGAAATGTTCTGTGATGGGCCGATGTGGACTAAAGGCTCCCACTGTCTCAATGCAACTGGTCTGTTACATTGATATACAATTATCCATTAATACAGCATCGTGTTCATTTGTGTCAGTTCTGCGGTCCATAAAAAACCATTCCCCCTATAAAAAGTAATGAAGCATTCGTGTGTCATTACAAAACAGCTCTCTCAAAGCAACAGGCAGCAGTAGCAATTCCCTCTTCCCGTTTCTCACGGTGACTTTCCTCGAGTGATCATTTTCTGTACGTTTATACTTTCCGTTTCGGAATTCTAACAGCCCCACAGAGAGAAGTCTCACTGGGATGTAAAAGCTCAAGGAAACATCCTCCAATTCCCCAAACCCACTCTGTTATTAATTACCGCCAGCTTCTTCTCTCCGGGTGACGGTGCACAGCTTCATTTTACACAGAGAGAGCTTTTTGTGTTTACAAATATTTATTATGCTAAAAGCATAGCAATAACAAATGCTGATTCTATTATAGGGTGGATTTTCTCTACGCGTTTTAAATCAGTCAGCAGGTGATAAATGGTTGTAATTGGAAACGGGAGAAACCGTTTCATTGGAAATTCATCATAAAGAGTTATTGAAAGTCGTAGTTTGACTCCTGCACAGCAGTTGGAGGTGTGATTCACTTACTGAGCTGACTGGATTTAGATGAATAAGCTCCAGCCCTGATACCATTAGAACCACATACGTGACCTGGGTGAAAATATATTTGAATATGCATTCAGACACTTAATCAGACACAAGATAAGTCAAACCATCGGAATCGGCTTACATTATTCTGAGGCCGAAGCAACATGTCTCTACTAAGAACTCAGCATCCTCACTGGTTGATGATCCACGAAGGCGTGTGAATAATTAGCCCCATCTGTGACCTCAGCACTCCTTGCGTTATTTTGTGATTCAGTCAGTTTTTCCTACACAAACTTTAGGGGGAAATTTTACCTTTACTTTTCCTCTGTTTTCCACTTCCATAATGCCACAGATGTCTACAGTTTACCCCTAATGATTAAAATACCAAAGATTCAATTCCACATTTCCACAGCCTCGGCACCTGAGCAAGCTGTGGCAGTCTATGGAAATATTGTATTCAACTTTGTTGTCTGCACAGACAAACATTGTTAACGTTCCCCGCAGCCAGTAGACATCTATGAAATATGAAAAAAAATACATTTTAACTGCTGCTGGATAAAAGGTAAAACTACAGTCTTGACTTCTGAGGTTTGTGAACGCTGTCTGACCGAATCACAGTACTCCTCAAAGATTGCTGGTTTCTCAGATGGGACTAGGAAATAAAGAGTAGCAGTAGCTGTTTAGCCTGAAGTCTACAGTATGTTGAGAATAATGTGAGGTTGGATTGGTATTTTGTTTTAGTATATCAGTTTTTGGATGCTAACTTGACCAAAAGATTCTTGGACAAGCAATGCACAGGTTAGGTCCATGTGATCTCACAGAAACACGTGAAATAGCCACGGCCTACAAACACATAAAGTGTAAAATGACATGCCACCATGGAAACAAAACTAATTAGGTTTAGTAAAGAAAAGCAAGTAGCTTCCTGTGTGGCCTATACGTCATTTAATATAACTCAACTTTGACTTTTGGGTTAATTCGGGACACCAGCACCTGGGTGAAAGTCCCATGTTGGTGGCAGGCAACATTTAAAGAAGGTGGTATGCAAACATTTGCAGCCAATGTTAGGGCAAATATAGAGAATATTTAATCCATTCCTTACACTTTTACTAAGCAAACAATCGAACAACTGGTCAGGAAAGGAGTTTAGCAAACGGTCAATTTCCACAAACATATTCAACAATTTCACCCACGTCTGCTGCATGATGGTGTCCCCCGTAACTCATCATGCCATCTTTTTCCATACTATCTTCTTCCCCATTTCCTCCCATCATCTCCCCCGCCTACCTCTGCCCCTCCCCCTCCCCCCCTCCCGGGGTCTGGAACGGGTGAACTACCCGCGATGTGGTCTTTGCTCTCTGTGGTAGGTACTTCCATTCCCCAACGGACACTAAGGAGCTACTCTACGACCCGGCATCGGTGATGAACGGCGACACGCTCAAGTTCTGCATGAAGGAGGCCTGGTGCAAGCTGTCCTTCTTCGTCCTCTCCTTCTTCTACTATCTCTACTGGTGAGCATGTGGCAGGAGTGGTGGGACGATAATTGGAATACATGTGAAGACATTACGATATTAGACCAGTATTTGAAGGGAAATGGTGAAAATGACCACTCACATCCCATGTTTGTTGCCCGACTCTATGTCCATCACATGGTTATTTCACTAGGTTTCATTTCTCAGCTCCCATGAAACGGTGTGAGTGCACATTAGTGAATAAAGTAACCATTTCTCTGGCAATCACATGCAAGTTCTCACACATACTGATCTGTCAGGTTGCCTAGGTTTACTGTTAGGCCCACTACTGCTAATGCATGTGATGTTGAGAGAATTTGATTCTTTACTTCACTGACAAGCACTACCAGAATGCTTAGGTGGATAGCAGAGGGATAAAACTGCTACACATTGATACATGTTCATTATTCTGTGTATTTTTTTACAGAAGAATGCAATTCCGTAAATGATGGTGTTTTTTTATAAATTGCACATAGTTATTTGCCTCTGCAAGGTTTTACTATTTCTCCAATGTTTTTGCTAAAATGTTCTGCTTGTTACATGATAATAATGCACACAATGTTCCTGTCCTTCTCTAATAATGCTGTTATTAATCACTCCGGATTCTTGTTCCATGTGTCATGTGGGTGCTGCAGTGTGTGGAACCTGGATATATCCCTCTAATAGGTCTTATCAATGGAAACACTTAAAAGGTACACTCTTTTTTTTTTGTTTTTACACCTTTTATTCTATGGTAGTAAATGAAGACTGAATAGCGTTATTCTTAAAGTTACTACAAGGAACAGTTAACTGGTTATGAAACAATCTAAATTAATACTGATGCCTCTCTATCACCTCCATAAGTAAACAAGAGCATCAGCAAGATGATTGACTATTTATATATAGTTATTCTTAATGCCTGTCATCTGGTCTGATTCGCCGCGATATCAGGTGAAAAGATTTACGATTTAAACGATTTAAACTCCTGCTCACACTCAAGCGGGGCCTCCAGCAGTGACCAGCCCACCACGAACAGACCCAGATCCGGCTTCGCTGCCTCCTTCGACCTGACTCCTTTGTCCGGCGGCAGCAGCTCCTTCAACCTTCAAGCTTCAACCTTGCTGCTCAACCGGCCCCCGGATGATCCAGATGGGACACCAGCCAAAGACAAAGCGGTGTTCATGGAATATTTCCCTTGATCCAGGACGACCTGTGTGCCGTTTCCCGGGGTATGGAGAGAAGCTACAGCGGAGTCAGTCAGTGGCTGCAGAACCTTGAGCTCACCGCCCGCCTCAATGAGAGCCGACACCGACACCACGCTGCTGGAGGCCCAGGCCGTATTGCTGGGCCTGAGGGAAGGGAAGCACGGTAGTACCAGAACAAGGACAAAGCTGAGCTGACTGTCAGATTCTACTGCAGTAAAATGAGAGGAAGTTTTCTAAAGGGGGTCTGGCAGCTGCTGATATTTATGACAAGGGGCGCTTGCGCTCATGGAAACACTATCGCTTGTGTCCACAGGGGGAGCCATATTCAACACAAAATGAAAGTTCCTTGTCGTAACTTTTAGAAAATTTGACCCTAATGGTCTTCCATAGGGCCACCACAGTTGATCTCGATCTGTATAAAGGCCAAGTTTGCTCTGAATGTGTCTTGAAGGACTGTTGTGACAACATGGGTTTTAGCTTCAAACTGATCTTGACATTTCTCTGGAGCCAATGTGGGTTCCGAATTGAAGCTATTAGCGGCCAGACATGGCAGCATTAGCACACAAGAGGGTTTTTGCTGACACATTAGTCTATTACCCGAAAAGGATTGCAACTTTAACATTGAGTTGTTCTTGTACATGTGTGATAATGCTACGAGTAAACATTTGACAACAATGTGGTGATGCAATGTCTTGTTAGGCAGTAGGCAGAGTGATGTTAATATGTTTATCACAGCAATATCACAGTAGAAAAGCAAAATATACTTAAATAACACAAGAGACCATTTTTGGGTGTATTTCTTTGATGTTGATAAAAGTAGCATTGGCATTACATCTTAAAATCAACATATTGTCAGGGAGATAGGGTGATGTTTTCTTTTTTAAATACTTGTGTGAATTGTTGAAAGAAAATACTAGTTTTTAAAAAAAAAACAATATACCTGACTTCTTTCCTTTGGTAAAAGATCATTGTCCTTACAGCTATTATGATGTGGATATTATCGTAAAGAAAATGTCTTTCCATTTCAACACATGTCCCCTTCACACAGAGACATGCAGTCAATTGTATGTTTGTTTCCCACTGACAGCAGTATTACAAAGACTAACATTGTAGACAAGGAGGTTAAAGTATGCTCCCCCTGGCATGGTAGAGTGGTAGAAATTAGGACTGGGAAAAAAACAACAACTAATGTTTTATGCTCATCTCATCCATCGTCATACCAGTACCTATGGCACCTGTATTGTAAGTTCAACGTAAAGGAAACCTTTGAGGTGAATTTAATTAGAGGTGTTTTTGCGTATTTTTAGTTCATTAACTAAAACATGCAGCTACTAAATATGTGACCTTTACATAACTTTCTTTTTACATTTCAGATGTGTTGTGAAGGAGAGGCAGACACGATGTAGTTTTCATGCACTTGCTTCCTGAACACGTCCTCTTTCAGACTAGTGGAAAGAAAACATTTAGGTGTTTGTTTTACTTACTTTGTCTTTTTTCTTTAGATTTCTGACAAAATTTTGCATTCGATAATATTTAATTTCAATATTGAAACATAGCATTTAAAAAACTAGCAATACAAAAAATAATATTAATTTAAGTAATCAACTGGGGAATCTATTAGATACTTTTTTTTTTTTACCCTATTCACCTGTAGTGTCTTCAAGATGTTTGTAATTTTACAAAACATATCTTTAAAGGCCGTTTTCTCCAAATAAGTTTTCTCTCAGACTCTGATACATAAATCTTCAGTAGCTCTTACTTTCACCAAACCATCCAGTTTCATTCCTCTATATTCTGAAGGTTTTTACTGAGGGGTTTGTTCTTATGTCATTTATAGCCTGATTTATACAACATTTTACGACTAAAAACATGGAGAAAATGTATATTTTATAGCTGTTTCATGATGATATCTAATAGTTATTTTTTGTATCCTATTGACCGGTAGTGTCTCCCCTTAAACACTCCATGTAGGGGCTTGAACAAAGCGAGAATGTGGTATGAGGTAAACCATGATTCATCTTGAACTTATACCATTGCTTCTCCATCCCGTCCTGCTCTAGCTCATGCTGTGTTAGAGACCTCTTGCAGCAGCAGCAGTGAGGTACTTCTTTACAAGCCGGGCGATGGTCCATTCACTTTCAATTCCATCAAGTTCAACGGGGCGTTTTTCTTGAAATTCGTATTTAAATGTTAAAACACTTTCAAGATATTAACCATGGTGTGATGTTTACGTTGCATAGTGATGTTAGCTTGATTAAACAAAGGCCATCAGCTGGTGAATCGGTCAAGTCAAATAACTTTGATGCCTTTTACAATAAAGCATTAACTATTAGAGTATTGTTTTAGTTTGTATATCTTCTATTCTTCTCCTATAGGGGGGCTTCTAGAGATGTTGCCTCATAACCACAGTTTAGCATTTACATTGGCGATTTAAATTATCATAACTAAAGTAAAACTTGGAAAACAAATATCAGGTTGTAGAAAATATTTTATCAATAAGCAGTGACACATTTTTAGTTGTTTGCTGAAATAGGTTTTTATAATCAGGCTTGACTGGGCCATTCTAATGTCATGCTTTGGCTGAAAAGCAACAATTCATTTTTTTTATCGATGTTGACGGTCAGTATAAACAGTGAATTAAATGGTGGATATATACATATATACATATATACATACATACAGTAGGTGTATGTAAAGAACTCAACTGAACTTGAACTGGAAGTGAAGTGACCTGAAACCTGCTTTATGTGTCCTTGCCTTTGTCACACTGACCCTTCTTCACGGCTCCCCAAGACCACACACACTCCTCTCCCCATCTCTGACCTTAAGACCCTTCACACCTTCACTATAAATCCTACTGCACGCACCAACATACACAGGCGCCAAACCCCCATGCATGCACATAATGAAATAGTGCATGCCCTCACAGACGATGAACACACAGCTCCACCTGAGTGCTCGCCTCCACACCTGGGTGATGGGTGATTTTAAAACCCCCTTTTTGGTTTGGCTCAGTGGAGCTTATCTGGTGCAGATGAACCACTGGAATTACTCCATCACTATTGATTGTGTCAATCTGGGCACGGCAGGAGGACAGAAGCACAGGCTCAAAGGGCGTCCAGCAGACCTGGGTTAAATCTATGTATTCATACCCTCACCCATAGACTGTATATAAAGATGGACGACGCCTCTCCACTTTCGCCCACTGTACAAAAATTAAGCCAAAATATTCCAGCTTGCGTTGGTAATGTAATTTGGAGTCAGAGTCTACGCAGTAGTGATAGAGGGGCCACAGTATAAAGGTGCTGCCCATACACCTGCCACCTAGCCGCCATGTTAGCACCATTGTAGCTGTTCGCTAGAAAGACACAACTAATTATAATATCTCTATGAATTAATTCATGATCAAATTTATGACCTATACTGCAGCCAGCCACCAGGGGGCGATGGAGATGTTTTGACTACACTTTTGAGGAGCTGTCACGTCTTGAGCGGTGTAAGGTAGTCACGGCGGGCCCGTATTATGAAGGCCATATATATATTTGACCAACAATTGGATTTTTACAGTCGAATTAGTTACTTTTATTTACAAGGCCCCCCCCCAACACTGGTACACTGCCTGCACTGTATATTTATGCCCCTGCATAACGTCCATCTTTATACATTGTCTATGATTTCGCCCATTTGACACATTTTGTGTACTGAGATGAATAAATTAAATTCCTCAATAAATAATCCCAAATAAATTGAGAATAAAAGACCAGTTCACACATTTGCTTTTAATAAAAACACGAGAAGGGACCCTCCCTGCTAGTTTGCCCATCTCTGCACCGTGGCCCCAGGTGAGCTCTATGCTGTCTCACCCTCCCCCAGCTGTTGCTCCGCTGATACTATGTGATAATGAAGCCTTGCCTGACCTCTGACATCCAACCTCTTAAGTTTCTCTACTCCTGAACTCGTCATTTTTTTTGTCAGGAGGATGCCGTGTCAAATGTAATGCACTCCAGTGACGAGTACTTTTTCCCCTGCAAGATGTGTACAGGTATCCTGTCCAACCCCAGTGGTTTTAAAATAATGGTCCTTAGCATGTTGTGTGCGACTACCTGCGTGCTATCCCGTTGTACATTTTCAGGTCTAACCTTTTTTATCGTACTTGCCGTTCTTACCGTCTCCCCGGGCATGAATCTGGCCTTTCTATTGCTCGTACACGTAGACACATAAGGTTAACCTCGGCTCATTCACTGGACAGATGTTGAAATTTAATGGAACATGGAAAAAGTGACTTCTGCCACTAAAAGCAAAGCGTTTGATATGAAATGGGTTTTTTTGTACACGGAGGGAATTATGACATAAATCTTTGATTTACAATATTAAGAAAGAAGAGTGTATTTCCAACATTATTATTATTCATTAAAAGTCAGAAACTCTGTCTGTCATGAATATTGTGTTCTCCAGTATGTGGTCATGGAAACACAATGCATTTTTTTCAGCGAAGCAGAAGCAAATGCGTTCATGCATTGTTTTCGCTTGTATCACAATGTTCTATGAAGTGTGAGTGTTTGCCAATGGACCAGATTGGATTTGAAATGTACGCCGCCGTTGGCATTACTAGGTTGGTCGGGGAAGACACTTTTGGTTTTGGCAAAAAAAACAAAAACAATGTTATTGCAGAAACACGATAACTTTGCACACTTGAGTTACTGTTTTTATGATGTCCATGTTTTTAGTCCCTTGCATTGGCTGACTAAAAACAGATTAGCAGGTCCAGCAGCAGATTATAACATATAATTAACATTACTGAAGCAATAAACTTGCAAAACGTAGCTGTCCAGCACCACTGTACGATTGGTAGTGGGTTGTTTGTATTTGTAATTCAATAGAGTGGCAAAGTCTTCTATGGCAAAACAACCGGAAATGATTCATCTCTCGCCGTGGTTACACTCGTCTTTTCAATATGAATTTTTTGTGATCATGGCCGCTGGTTCGGAACTCAGCTGTGACCGCATATGTGTCCACACTTGACTATTCAATGCGACCTTCCTGATCGGATATTGATTAGGTGTAAGAAGCCGCTGAAAATACAGTGGATAATCACATTTCATTTCCTATAAATTCTTCACAAAAAAAGTCCCACTTCGGTTTTTCCTGCTTACACTTCCTCCCTGCAGTATTAGTGATGTTTTGTTAAAGAATAGCCGCTAACAAAGCTCTGATAATTCTGTGATGAACACATTTCATTTCCTATAAATTATTCACAATAAAAGTCCCTGTCTATTTCATTATTTTGAAGCTTTTAATTTGAAGCAGCAAAATCAGGGAATGCTGGGTTTTCTCCGGAGAGGACCTCCCGTGTGGGGGGAAGATGAAGGAGACCTATGTTTGATAAATTGTCTAGATTGTGCCCACATGCTGATCGAATGTTAAAAGTTCTATTGAAAAGACAATCATAACCGTGGCCTCAGATAAACTTGAATGCATGAATCAATAATTTCTCACTTCCAACACTCCAAATACCGACGGTTGGTCACTGGCCCTACTTTTCAAACTATGATGCTCCGGGTTCCCCTCTAGCATCGTTTTTTTGACTAACAGACTGTCTGTTTCCTTTCGTTACATTCATAGTGTCTTTCAGAAGAGACTTCCATGTTCACAGGAAACTCATTATATGCTGTTTCAAAATAAACTTCCAACGTAAGTAAATTTTTTTTTGGCTTAGTTGTTGAGTCTTAGAAAACTATTGTGGTTTGGGTAAAGATAAGTTTGTCTGTTACATAAAATAAGTATGCTTGTTATGCAACTTAGCATACACAGCTTTACGTAACAAACTAAGTTAAAATAAGATAACGTTGACTTGGTTTCACACAGGACATGAACAGCGGTCTCCTGGGTGAAAGTCCATCCACCCCGACCTTCCCCCTTAGTAGACTTTCTCACTCTTCATCATCTGTCAGTGGCTCTGAGCGTCTAATAACAACGCGGATGGGTTTACATTGGAGTTAGTTGAAGTTGTATCGAGAAGATCTGACCAACATTCAGTATGTGATGAGTTGGCTAAGAGTGGGTTAACGAGAACAACATTCAACCCAACTGAACATACATAACTAAACAAAGACAGAGGTTCTACCATTGTTCTTATTCCCTTTGGTATACATATGAACATGAAAATAATTACATAAGGCTTAGAAAAGGAAATCTTATTATATTATTTGAATACCAATAGACACTACTAATTTGAAAATGTGAAATTATAAGCAAACAAGTTGAAATATTTATAAATATTTCCCAACTTAAACAGCATTATATTTCTTCCCAAAGTGTCAGTATTCCTTTTTGCTGCAGCCTCTCGCATAACAAGTCATATTTTAGCATACATTATGTTTAGTTAATGTCTAATTAGGCTGTGTAAGCGAAGGAGCTGTAATTTAAAGAGCTACAAGTCCATCTATTAATGAAGGAGCCGGTTCTCTGAGGATCTAACTGGAGGAGGTCAAGTCTCGGAGGAGGAGACAGCCTTTCACTCTTGATCTGTCTGTCTCTCCCTTCACATGTATCCTCTCTCTCTCTCTCTCTCTCTCTCTCTCTCTCTCTCTCTCTCTCTC